AGAAAATACTAATTTTTATGCACCAAGTCAGACTTTTACAGCCATATATCTGTTCATTTGTTCTTTTCATCCTCTTCCTTGTATTTCCTGGGAGGCAGAAAATGATCCCCGAGGCAGTAAATATTTTCCCATCATTGTGAGGGAGATTGGCCATAGTTGATGCTACCCAATTCATGTGCCATGATGGAAACTGGAGAATATTTACTGGCCCTCCTTTAATGCTCTCTTGGAGCTTCACCCCGCTATTGTTAACAGCTGCGTAGGGTTATTATTTGATTGTATTGCCCAGGCAGCATGTAAGGCTCAGTAATGGGCCCATGCCTAGCAAGTCAGACCTCAAAGCCAGAAGGAATCGTGGATTGATCTCATATGCAGTATTTTTTCTACCACCCATTCCAAGGTCGTTTGGGACAAGATTCAAAAAAGTGAATGGAAAGTAAAATTCTCATTCTCTGTAAATTTTTCAACCCAATGGCCAAGCAGCTTCTGTTTTACCGGGTATTGTATTACCCTTGAACGTTTCTTTTCCTCGCCATTTAAGTACATCCACTTCCTTCTATGCCTTCTTGGCCATCAAGATACGGGCTTATCGTATATATCATTAAAATATCAATTTACTCTGGTGTAACTCAAACCTGATTTATATTGATACAGCAATACATCAGTCGGACCAGATCACATTTATTATGAGATGTTGCATTATCTCTTTCCTGTCTCTGTTGACTTTCTGATTGTTTTTAACCAAAACTGGCAGGATAAATATTTTCCAGGTGTATGGAGTCAGGTTATTGTCATGGATTATTTCTAGGAATAGATCCATTGCTGTTAAGATATGTAAAGGATGGTTAATACTGTTCTTGTTTGGTTAGTTGAAGCAAACAGTCTTTTCTCCAAAAAGTGTACTTTATTCAGAAAATGATATATTATGGACCGGCTGATTTGACTTGAAACGTTAATCAGGGAAACCTTTCTCAAGATGGAGCATCTCGTTGCTGTCTTTTTTATCTTGAGGCTTATGAAACTACATAGAAGTTTGCTACCTTAAAGGACCTCTGTTAATATGGGTTGTCTGCCATTTACCCATTTTTATTCGGAAATTTTGAACTGAGAGATCCTTCACACTTCAGGATTATGTCTTGAGTGTCACACTTTTTAGTAATAAGATCAGTATCATCACCAAAGAATGTCTTCCTACAGTTGCTAACAGGCTCTATGTCGATGACTTATTGGTCATCGTAGATGATTTATATTAAGTGAAAGCTTCAAACTGCTCTCACTTTTTTTTTATTGGAACACTCAAACTGTTTTAAATTTGATGAATTAAAACAGTTTGCATGGATTTTTGCCACAAGCATGGTTTGCAACCTGATCCTGAGCCCCATCATAGAAGTGCATTAATTTTCGTAGTTACTAAAACAAAGTTCTGTGGACTTCTGTTTGACCAAAAGCTGACATTTGAGCAACACATTAAGCACCTTAAATTGAGGTGTACAAGGGCTCTTAACATCCTCCTTTCCACCTCCTGGGGAGCAGATAGGTGTTCTATGGTCAGGATCATTCATGCCTTTATTTGATTTAAGTTTGACAATGGGCCTTTGCTCTATGCTTCGGCCAAAGACTCTGCTTTCAAGATGTTGGACCCTGTCCATCATCAGGAGCTTTCTGCACTTCTCCAGTTCAGAGTTTGTACAAAGTCCTATTAATGAATCTCCACTTCACCTGAGACATTTGTAAATTTCTTTGCAGTATGCTACAAAGCTCCAATCCCTGCCATAACACCCTACCTGGCAATGCGCCTTCATGCTTCATTAGGCTACGTTTCTTTTGTGAATATATGGTCTGCCTATCCTACTGTTTTAGGATTTTAGTGTTGTAAGAAAAGAACAGGAAAGCATTCTATGACATATTCAAGGTTTTAGGTATGGAGACTACACCAGTGTTGTCACATGATGATGTTACACCGAAGCTAATAATAACAAAACTGGTTGAATGTTCATCCCTTATGTATTCGTGCTGAAGACTTCACAATAAATATAAGAAATGAAATATAATGGGAATTTTGAGGTTATTTTATCTAATTAGTGAAAACTTTCCTTTTCCGGGACTGTCTCAAGAAATCGAGAACACGTGGTTACCCTACTATAGGGTTTTTATACTCTATTTAATATTTTAACATTATATTAAGCAGCGTTTCTGGTTTATGTTTGAATGTTATAATTTTTCATTTATTTTACATTTTATTGCATTTATTGGTTTTGAATAAAAAAGGGAAATTCT